TCAACGACTTCACCTTGATTCTGTTCACTGTGGAGTCAGATCCTACAGCTCCAGCTGTTGTTAACTTTCTAAAGGAGAACAAGGACATCCAGGAGCTCTGTCAGAGCTGTGGAGGAAGACATGTTGTTCCAACCCAGTCTCACAAAAAAAACGTGTAATAACTACGTTGGTCCACAACTTGGGACGTAGTATTTCTACAAAAACGCCTCTGAAATTGTAAGATCCCTACGTTTTTTTTCACCATTCATTCCAATGGCTGGCGTCTATGTCACGTGATCTTCAAATTTCTCCCTGCAGAAAAAAAAACACATGGCCGACCTTCGTTTTATTCTCTGTGGTTAGTTTGGCCATTAAAATGCATTTTGATGTCATTTGATGCGAGAAATATGAGTTGTTATTTCAGATTATGTGTGCAGTGGATGTACACGATCTTTAGTTTGCTAGTTATTACGAAGATTACTTCAGGAAATTGTGTCCATTCAATGTTTTCATTGTTACCAAGGTGGTTGCTAGGGACACTGCTATCGATATTATTTCTGTTATGTTGTGTAACTGTTTAATGGTGTTATCTTTATTGCTACCCCCTTTCCCGTCAATGATAGTGTTGGTCCACAAGGCAAACGTATTAGTTTAACAAAATCCGCATCTAAAATTGTGGCATAAATACGTTATTTTCCCCTGTGCAATTCTCCATTTACTCAACAATAACACATAATTATCATTGTGTTTATTTATTTGTTTGATTAATAAACACAAGTTGGAGTCCGTCAGGACCGAGGGTCGGAGCAGCTAATTTGCTTTAGAGAATATTACACCCGGAAGTAAGTATTCTCTCCGCTTCGCTTGACAAACCCTGTGATAGTATAGATATCAAATCAAATCAAATCAAGTTGTATTTATATAGCACATTTATAAACGATTTTTGGTCGAGCCAAAGTGCTGTACATATAATAAAATTAGCCTACAGTAGAGACACTTTACAGCAAATACAACAGAACAGATTGTTCAGAATATCAGTATGAGAAAAACGACACCCTCTATCCTTAGACCCTCACATGGTACAAGGAAAAACTTCCAGAGAAAAACCCACAGTTTAAGGGGAACATGGGAGAAACCTCAGGGAGAGCAACAGAGGAGGGATCCCTCTCCCAGGACAGACAGACGTGCAATAGATGCCGTGTGTAAATCGAAGAGATAATACATTTTACAGCATATAGACCGAATGTTAGGAAATGCATGTGTCTGTAATAAGAAGATGAATCCACGAGGATGTCAGCTACAATCCTGAGGAAGCCATCAGGGAAGCAGCATGACGAGACCCAAGGCAGGACCGCAGAGACAGGTTCAGCCACGAGCCGAAGACCACGACTTAATCCAGAACTCAGGATAGAGGATCCAAGACACAGGACTACAGTAAGAGGATCAGCCTCGACTCCGGATCCCGGCTTAGATATAGATACAAAACAAGAAAAAAGATTTGGCTGGGTTAATCGGAACAAGAGAATACACAGACACAGACAGAGAGGGAAAAGGTCATTGGATAAAAGTTATTCTTGATAACCCTCTAGAAAGATCTCATGAACTTCCCCACTCAATCTATCAAGACCCGAGCAGTTCTATTAGAAGTCCAAGGTAAAGGCACAGGCCGGCGCACAGCGCTCATGGAATCCCTCACCATATGAACTCTGACCCTTCAAGTGTACAAGTGAAGAGACACCATGTGTCAACTCCTTTTTAGAATAGTATTTCTTCTCTTCTCAGAGAAACAAGGGTATGCAAAGAACAACCAGAAACAGAGGAAGAGAGGCAGAACGTGACTACGTAAATGCACTCTCCTAAATATTAAACGAGTAAGAGGTGAAGAAACACAAAGCCAGAAATTGAAATGAAAAGGCACCATCATGCTTCCCCTTTGAATAGGGTGGAAATTATGAAGACTCAAATTATAAAGAGGGGACATGGGATACTTGTGAAGAGGGACAACAGTGAAAAAGCCCAACGTATCCAACGTACTAGCACTCTCCGAAGAGACAGAAAGTCAAAGTATATGCAGAGAGGCACAACGTGACTACGTAAATGCACTCTCCCGTGTAAATTAGTTCAAGGGAAAGGGGGTGAAAAACTAAACTAATCAAAAGAAGGAAGTAGAGAGGCCTAAATGCCCTCTCCTAGATTCAGTTAAAGGAAAGAACTGGGGAACAAACAAGTACAGGAGGAAAGGCCCAACGAGTCAACGTCAACACACTCTCCTAGAATAGTTCAAGGTAAACGGGGTAGGAAGAATATAGTAAGAAACAGAGCTGAAAAGGGGTCCAAGAATGCTTTCCCTCTAGTCCAGGGTGAAAATGTAGGATAAGAAAACAGAGATAGAGAGCACAACAACCTATCTCTTCGTCAGATGCACTCCCCCGCCTGGATATGAAAAACTTGGGTCGCAGGTTCCTCAACAGTGCATTACAAGACATCTATCAATATGTGTGTATACCTCCACCATTAAACTGTCGTATTCTGCACATTTCTTATACTATCTACATACATCTTATATAAGAGTATAATACATATGTATAATATCAGTTAAAATAAGTGCTTTAACATAGTTAACATTGCTGGAGGTATACACAAAGTTTTTCATTCATTGCATAACTACACCGTTTGTGTTTATGATATGTCAATAAACCTTAGAAAATCTTGAAATCTTGAAAGGTATGTGCAAAAAAAAAATATAGTCATTATATACAGTGTTTAATTAACTATTAGTAGAGAATAACGAGTAATGAATATACTTTATAGGGATCCTATTCATATCTAACAATAAAAATAATGAAATTCAATAACATGCTTTAACCACTAGGTGTCCCTTTATATCAGCTGTGCACCTTTATGGTGTAAATACAGCCTATCTACCAATTGGATCAAATATAAAAGTCAGCCGAATTAGTGTTGATACTACAAGGAGACGTATTGTGTGAAAAGAAATGTAAGATGTTGTTTAATTGCTGATATCAAGATCCACGTCACGTTTTCAGTGTGGGCGGCAGTTCCTCATGTTTGTCTAAGTCTTCTTATCAGGGCTCTATGAATAGAGAACTACGGCAGATATGTAATATTTAATGCAGCCGAACCGTGTATTACAATGCCGTTATGTGATGACCTCCAAAGAGAAAAGCAAGCACACTCGGAATAAAGTATTATTTTATTTTTTTTAAATGTTTTCGGTCTGTTTCCGGTATTTGTTTATGACGATGTGATGTGAGACTGGGCTGGAGAATTGCACAGGGGAAAATAACGTATCTATGCCACCATTTTAGATGCGGATTTTGTTAAACTAATATGTTTGCGCTGTGGATCAACACTATACATTGACAGGGAAGGGGGTAGCAATAAAGATGACACCATTAAACAGTTACACAACATAACAGATATAATATCGATACCAGCATCCCTAGCAACCACCTTGGTAACAATGACAACGTTGAATGGACACAATTTCCTGAAGTAATCTTCGTAATAACTAGCAAACTAAAGATCATGTGCATCCACTGCACACATAATCTGAAATAACAACTCATATTTCTCGCATCAAATGACGTAGGGATCTTACAATTTCAGAGGCGTTTTTGTAGAAATACTACGCCCCAAGTTGTGGACCAACGTAGTTATTACACGTTTTTTTGTGAGACTGGGTTGGTTGTTCTCAACATCAAGGACCAGCAGCAGATCCCAGAGCTGTTGGATGCTGTGGGAGAGACCAGAGTCAGAGGATCCAGGTACTTCACAATGAAGATGTTCACCAAGGCTCAGATGACGAAGGTTGTAGTTAGATAACACTAACAAAAGACTTAAAGCTGAACTGCAGGATGTTAAAAAGAAAAGTGAGATGGGCGGTGTTGATGAAAGTCAGAACAGAGAATGTGTCAGGATGGTGCTGATTGGGAAGACAGGCAGTGGGAAGAGTGCAACTGGAAACACCATTTTGGGCGAAAAAACATTTTACATCTATTGCCAGCACAAATTCAGTGACAAGTTATGCAAAAAAGCAACAGGAGAGATTGATGGACGACCTGTCGCTGTGCTAGACACCCCCGGTTGGTTTTACACAACACTATCCAATGATGATGTTCAAGACGAGCTTGTGAAATGCATCAGCATGTTGTCTCCTGGACCTCATGTGTTCTTACACACACATGTGCTGCAGATCGGCCGAATTACACAAGAGGAAAAAGACTCAGTGGAACTGATCAAGAAATGTTTTGGCAAGAATTCTGGAGATTTCATCATCATTATTTTCACCAGAGGAGATGATCTGAATGATGAAACAATAGAGAGTTACGTAGAAAACTCAAAACTGTGATGACTTTTTGAAAAAACTGATAAATGACTGGAGGGAGATACCAGGTCTTCAATAACAAAGATCAGACAAACCGCATGCAAGTCAGAGAGCTGATGAAGAATCCAACAAAATGCTGAAGGAAAATGGCGGCAGCTGCTTCACCTCGGAGATGTTCCAAGAGGCCGAGGCTGCCATACAGAAGGACGTGGAGAAGATCCTGAAGGAGAAGGAAGAAGAAATGCAGAGAGAGAGGGAGGGGCTCCAAAGAAAACAAAGGAGGAAATGGAAGAAGTGAAGAAAATAATGGAACAGGAGAGAGCAGAAATGTAGCAAAAGAGATCCAAACAGCTTCAAGAGATGGAGGGAATAATCAGCAAGGACCAAGAGGAGAGAAAGAGAGTAAAGAAACTGAGAAAAAAAGATAATATCAAGAATAAAAGGCAGGATGAAAATAGAAAAAAGGGATGGGGGGAAAAATAGGAGGAGAGTTGGAGGACAATAAAGAAGAGATGAGAACACAAAAAGAAGAATGGGAGAAGGAGAGAGAAGAAATGAAAAGAGACGACGAGAGGAGCAAACAAGACTTCAGGAGCTGCAAGAAGAATACAATCAGGAAAGAGAACAACTTGAACAGAAAAGAAAACTAGAAGTGAAATTCAAAGATAATTACATTCTCGCCTAATCTTTCCACTGATTCCTGGTCATCATGTCAACTTAAAGGTGGGGTAGGTCATTTTGGAGAAACCAGCTCGAGATCGCTAGAATTTGAAAATACACAGCCGGAAAAGATCTGCCACTTCCTTCAGACTTCCTTACAGAGCCCCTCCTCCAACACACACGAACACGCACATGACCAATGAGGGCACGAGATAAGTTTTTGCACAGATGGAAGGCTGACAGGCAGGTAGGCCATCCAGTTATTTTAGCCGGGCCGGCTCAGATGATTGGTCGTGCTTTTTACATTACCACGGCTTCCACAGATGCATTTTTTAATGTATTTTTTGTCAAAGCACTTCAGATATTCATTGCTATCGGGATGTTAAGAGCATTCCATGGAATATAACAAAAAGTCTTATTTATTGCCAGGGGCGGATCTACCGGGGTGGCAACTGCCACCCTAAAAAATAGCATTGCCACCCCAGCTGCCACCCCAGTTGGCATCTTTGTTTAAAAGAAAAGTTGTGGCTCATCGGACATTTATGAGAGAAAATCTCTAATGTCCGAGTGCAAGTGAATGCAGCACAAGACGCAAGTCTTGTAACCCCTCCCCCCGGCCCTGGCGCGAGCTTGGACATATGATTGGCAGCGATTTCATTTGAACGGGGGGTGGCGCATAATGAGAAGCATTCGGTATTTGCGGTCTACAATGACAGAGAAGAGACTGTGAAGTTTGGCTGTACTCAGCATTGAATCAAAACCAAAACGCACTAAAGCTTTGGATCTTAATAAGTTTGTGAGGCGTTTTGCTGAACAAGATGGTAATAGCCGCATTCAGCTGTAATAGACATGCCAACTTGATGCTCTGCTCACGGATGACTTGATGAGCATAAACAACTGTTAAGATGATGACCTTGTATGTGTGTATATATATTTTTTCTTTGAGGGGGTCTGCCCCCAAAAAACAGTTTTAAGTCCTGAGAAAGTCAAATAAGACGGTGTGTAAAACTTCACTGCCCAGCCAAAAACAAGTACCCACTTTGATTTAACTAGGCCAGTAGGTAAGGACTTTCCACTGGATAATAACTGCAGCGATGTTTATGTTTTAGCTTAATACACATTTTTTAACCCTAACTGATGCAGTTAGTCACTTCTTTAATGTTTGTTCTTTCTGATGTAAAGTCAAGGTTGTAACTGTTTGCAGTAAAGTTGTGGGGCGCTGAACTGTTCCTTTGAATCTTTTGATTTATGATAGTAATTACTTGTCTTTCAAATTTGAAGGAGGGTGAGCAAGCATCTTGTGGAACATTCATCATTAACTCTCCAAAAACTATAGTTTATTCAATAATAAATGAATATGTGAATCATAACAGTGATTGACAGCTGATAGGAATAATATGATTGTTAATAGTATCATATTAATTTAGACAAACATCGATGAGACAGTTAATTAATGTACTTATTGCAGCAGTCTTCATAGATTTGGTACCCCTGCTGGTCTAAGAGTGAAACAAACTCATTCAGTTATTGTTCAGTTAAAATTCATTAAATGATGTCTGCCACCTTATATATTTATATGTAAGGCTTTACTGATGTGCCACAATAATGTCACCTAATGTTATTGAGTTACAATATCAATAGTGGCTTTCCAAGTTAACATTGATTGATATGACTGCGATTAAATCAGCATACTTCTGCCAGGGGATGCCACCCCTCAAAATCTCCTGCCACCCCATGAATATTTGTCTAGATCCGCCCTTGTTTATTGCAAAGTTGTTCACATACAGGAATGACTTTGGTGTATTGGTGCAGAACAATAACTTAAGAAGAAATAAAAGAAATTCAAGGACTACAAAAGTTAAGACAAAAAGGAATTTGTATGTATGAAATAAACAATAGACACATTTTGCTGTCTTGAAACGAGAAGAGTTTAACAAGTAGTATTAACTTTAATCAAAACATTTTAAGTGGGGATGTGCAACAGTTGACAGTGTGGTTATCAATATAATATATATTTGTTCTGTTAACTTTCTATCGTCTTGGACAACACAAGTCACAGAACATCAGACGCATTTCTACTCAACTTCAGCATCGCACCATGAGGACAAAGAAATGAGATTCACCTTCTCAGGTCTCATGGTTGTTCTAATCATTACTCAATCATCCACTCTGTTTTCCAAACAAAAGGATCTGGTCTGAGGTGAGTAATATCTGTACAGCGATTTAAAGGGGCCCTATTGTTCTATTTTGGGGTTTCCCTTTTTTATATAGGTTTTTGTGATCTACATAGGGAGTGTGTGGGCGTTTCTATGCTTCCATATCAGACTGTATTTGCATAGGGATAGGGTTACCAGAATATCATCTGCATATATAGACAGCTTCAAATCATGATTAAAACACCAGTGAGATCCCTGTACCTTCAAATTGCGCATTTTAAATGTCATTTTCTAACATTCAACAAACAAAATAATAAATGAAAATAATCTGCAGATGTGCTAATGATCAGAAGCTGCAGCACTACATGATTTGGAATATCCTTCACACAGAACATTTTCCTCTCTTTTGCTCTTAAGCCAACCATTTTACAAACTCAAGTTTTATATTTCTCAATGAGTTGACCTTTCTTCCCGCAGCCTAGTTTCTGTAGAGAATTGAAACCTGAATATAATCTCTGTCAATCAGCAGAACTGTTCCTCTGACAAAGACTGGTGGATTATTATCTCTGCTGCAGGTTTCAGGTTTCATTGATTTATTTATAAAAAGCTCTTTTTGAACAAACAGATGATTCCCATGCAGGCAGGAAGTGTCTCCTGTGTTCACACCTTCTTTGGTCTTTGTTGTGTTGTTGCATGTTCACCAGTTTCACAGACAGTGTGTCGATTGACAGACTCACATTCCCCCGGCTCCTCAAACAGGCCTGAACCAGCCGGAGAATGTGGACAATCCTCTGCCTGACTCCAGGGCACGATGTTTATGATCCGAGGATGGAGAAGGCATGACCGTCATACTCTGCCTCTGATTGGAGAGGTGAGACAGAACGTCACACCTTTGCAAACATTTATAAATGAGCTGATCCATCTCCAAATCCTCAGTATCTGCCACATAGACATGTCTGCAGAATGGGTCAATCACTAAGACGAACTAACTCTGTGGAAAGGTTTCTACAGCATCATAAACCAAACAGCTACTCGTGTATTTGATGCCTTTTTGTACTGTATTTTATATTTAGCATATTATTGGTTGCCTCCAGAGTGATGAACTTCTCTTCAGTCCATATAAGGAAAGCAGACTGTCAGAAACTCATTTACAAGAACACCTATGTTATGTCTTGTCAGAGCAGAACCGCAAAAGTCAACATATATGTTAGAGTTTAGATCACTTACTGTATGTGCAATTTTTTAAATCTTATATACTTGAATGGAGTTTAAAGGTATTGTAAACTTCAGATTTTAAACATAGAACACCCAACAGACACTGTCAATTTGCAAAGGTATCCGGTACCTGCAACCTCCAGGTAAAACCGTAAAAGTTCAGCAGGTCTATTGAAAGTAACCCCCCCCCCCCCATTTTGTTGGAGGAGTGCCTTTTGGTTGACTTCCAGCTGAAGTTAAGACCTTACAAGGACAGCATGAGTATAAGCTTCAGTTTAAAACACAGGAGGCGTGGTCCAACCTGGTGAGGACAACCCCCCCCCCCCCCCCCCACGCACACCATATCCTGAAAGCAGACTCAGGTTACACCCTGAAATCCTAACTATGTTTGGTCAAGTTAGAAGTTTGAAATGGGAACAGATTCTGAGGATCAGAAACATGACTTTATATTGCAGTACGATACAAATAGTGCAGTGCAAGAAAGGCACTTGAGGAAGTGAAATACTCTGACATGTCTGTGCAGGTTCAGGGTGTGGACACAATAACTGGAGCACTGCTTTCCAGATTCAAAGGCTTTATTGTCATATGCACAGTAGCTACGGAGTAGATATGGCAATGAAAATCTTAAGTCCCGAGCTCCTTTACTATTTATTTAAGAAAACAATAAAATACTGCAAGAAGAAACAGCGTAGAATAAAAAAAGTGCTAGATTACCTTTCAAGACCAAAGTGCAAGTAATGCAGATGAAGCAAACTATACATGTCAACACGTTTTTTTAAATAAGTTAAATGTTGCAGAGAATGTTGTAAGTGAACGAGTAAATGCAGGAGTCTATGTGCATGTAAATAGAATGAGTCAATTCAATACTGTACAGTAAAACCGGGCTTGTAATGTTCACTTGAGGTCACTGCAGTCAGCTGGAGATGCAGATACATGAAACGTCCAAATGCACAAGTTTTAAACTTTGAATTGTTCAGTTTTGATATACTTAATATTTCATATTGGCCACTCTTTTGTGGCAGACAGTTTGTGAGCACTCAAGGACAGACACATTAAAGTTCAGGGACAGTCTAGTGACCAGCTGGTTTCTGTGATCAGCAGCTCCACCACAGGCTTTACCTCCCAACGCGTGTTTCCAGCAACAGTTAGGGCCAAACGTATTTCTTCATTTCTGCTTTGGCTGTTAAACATGCCTTTGGGAAGGCCATCCTTTAACTAAACAACAGACATTTATGTTATGTCATAGTTGGGGGTATTTGCTTGACCCAAAAAGAGGAAGGGTTAGCGAATAAATAGCAGTAGATAAGAAGAGAAAAAGGAGAAGACCTTAAAAAAGACGAGACGGTAACAAACTGAAAAAAACTACACAGCACATTTTTAACTTGATTAAAAATGTAATATATTTTTTGGCATGATTGATGTTATAAAACAGATCAAATGGGCCGCAGCAAAGATCTCAAGTTTAATTATTAGATCAAATCAGTTTTGGCGTCGAAAGAAAGTTCATCATCAAAGGTTCAAACACTACAAATTCGATATACCTCTCATGTGTTTCATTTTTCATTATTTACCAGTGTGGGTCCATAATCTTCACACACCTTTATTTCTAAACATCCACTAAGATTCTAAAGATCTCCAACCAGCTATCATTTAGGGAAATGATGCACAGAACAGCAAGGTTTCAACCAAGAGAGAGAGAACATAGAGCATACATATTGTAATGAGTTGAACTCACGTCGTTGGTCCTGATTTGCAGGATTTACTTGCAGCTTGA